CGCCGACACCCCTGCGTGGAAGTGCGGGAGGGGTGCTAAATCCTTCATCCCCAGGCCGAAAGTTTTTTCCTCTTGCACTTCGCCACGGCTTACGCGGGCCACCAGCGTGGCACACCGAGCGGAGAAGAGGCGCTCTCGCCCGGCCGCGCGCGGGAGACCTGCGCGCGAACTGCCGGCGCCATCGACCCGGTCTCCCGGCGTCGCTCCGTGGAGGCTCCCGCAGAACGAGCAGGGACGGTGCGCAAGACAGGGGCAGGCGCGGAGAGACAGGAAGACGGGGAGACAGAGAGAGATGAGAGAAAGAGAAAGAAGGGAGAGAGAGAGAGAGAGACATGACATAGAGAAAAAGAGGGAGCGAGCGATTGGGGGGAAAGAAGGAGAGAGAGAGAGAGAGAGAATGTGTGTATATATACGTGTATATGTGCATGTATACATACATCTATGGATAACACACACACACACACACATACATAACACAAACGGTAAGGGACGACGAGGGGCAGGTTGGAGAGACGGAGGCTGACATACAGCATGGCGGCCTGGAATAATTAGAAAAACCGTCCGGGCGAAGAACCCAACTATATGCAGCTGTGAGTACCGCCATTGTGAATATCTTCTTCGGTGGAGCTCCCTATGGGGCCACGAAGCGCTGCACTGGGAGGGGGGAGACGCATGGGGGCGGCAGCACTGGGGCCGTCGGTGGAGCTACGCATGGGGCCACGAAGCGCTGTACTGGGTGGGGGGGAGGGCGCATGCGGGCACCCCCACTAGGGCCTTCTGTGGAGCTCCCTACGGGGTCACGAAACGCTGCACTGGGTGGGGGGGACGCGTGCGGGCGGTAGCACTGGGACCTTCGGTGGAGCTCCCTACGGGGCCACGAAACGCTGTTCCGGGTGGGGGGGACGCATGCGGGCGATAGCACTGGGGACGCCGGTGGAGCTCCCTGTGGGGCCACGAAACGTTGTAGTGGCTTGGGGGGGACGCATGCGGGCGGTAGCATTTGGACCTTCGGTGGAGCTCCCTATGGGGCCACGAAGCGCTTTACCATGATGCTGCTGATGATGCTGATGATGAAAGGAGGGAGGGGGGCAGCGGGAGGAGGAGGAGTGCACGTGGAGACCGTCTCTCCAAAACGAGGTCTCGACACCACAGCACGGCTGGGAACAATCAGCGACACGAACAGACAAGCTCGGAGGTCCGCCTCTGGCGCCGCCCCTGGCGCGCTCCGCGCGCCAGGGAGGCGCGGACCTCCGAAGCTTTGTTTATGGTCTGTCTTTGAGGAGGCGGGAGACACCGTGGGCGTTCAAGAGGAAAGCGTCCAAGAGAGGAGTCCGCAAATCAGGTGCGGGGCCAAAAAGACGCTGTGACAGAAGAGGACGCAGAAGGTGGAATGGGCCCATGCCCTGCTACCCACGCGCCCCTGAGTCCTCACCCTCCTCTCGGCTCGGCCGCCCCCCGAGAACGAAGACAGACAGCCACACAGTGGGGATGGAGACCGAGGTGGATGCGGAGGCGGAAGGCAAACGAGGGGGGGAGGGGGGGAGGAGAAGAGGAAGGGAGGAGGGAGGGAGGGAGGAGGGGGGGGAGGAGGAGAAGGAGGAGGAGGGGTGCAAGCCCAAGAGTCATCAACGATGTTGGAATGAACCCTCCCTCCAACCTCCCTCTCCATAGGCCCCCACAAGGGTTCATCTCCACTGAGGGAACTGCCTCTTTGGAAGACAACCGTTTGAAGACCCTGAAGCATGCCAAAACATCGTTGTCGGGATTCCAACGCCACGGATCAACCTGACTGTTGCGTTTTGACGATCCTGGATAATGCCAGAACAGCCTTCCTGGGACCGCAACACCGCGAACCAACTAACTGTTACAAGCTCATAATCCCGAATCCGTCCAAAACACAAATTCTGGTACGCTGAACATGGGAATGTGTGGAACTCTTACAAAGGTTGAAAACGAATATGCGCGACGCTAACGCGAGGGCCACAATTTGAAAAAGAACCGCCCTTCACCCGTGAAACTCTTGCCAATTTTGAAGACGAATGTGCGCGGCGCGAAGGCGAAAACCACATTTTCAAATTCATTCGCCCTCGATCCGTGAAACTCTTGCAACGTTCCAGACGAATGTGCGCAGCGCTAAGGCGAGAACCACATTTTGAAAACAGTTTGCCCTCAATCCGTGAAATTCTTGCAAATATTTAAAATGAATACGCGCGGCGCTAAGAGAACGACCCGACCTCCATCTATGAAACTGTTGCTAATGTTTAAGCTTCAGGGTCATAAATGATGAGGATGTCTCAAGCGAAACGCCCGGCCCGCCCTAAAACTGGCCTCGGGGTGCGACAAGGAGATGTTATCTATAAGGCGAAGGAACAGAGGACGAGGAGGAGGAGGAGGAGGAGGACCAGGCTGGCAACCACACGGGCGGCTGGGACGGGCCTGCCCGCCGGCAGCCGCAGAGGGCACATGGCAGAGAGCCGCTGGGGCGGGGCGAGAACCTCGCACAGGACCCTCGGACCCTCGCCTACCCCCCAGACCTCCAGGAGTCGTGGGCAGATCGCGACAGCGTCTGCGCTCCGTCTCGGGCCCCGGCACCCCCACAGACCGATCCAGCACGGGTGCCGCAGGAAGCAATGGAGTAGAAAGCCCTGGTCGCGCTTTTGCTGCCAGCGCTGCGATCAGTCTACGACGTCGGACGCCGGAGCATACTGAAGTCACCACGTCTCCTACCCTCGCTTCGTCTCACGCTTCTTCTATCCCTCTCTTATTATTTTCTTTCTCTCTCTCTCTCTCTCTCTCTCTCTCTCTCTCTCTCTCTCTCTCTCTCTATATATATATATATATGCATATATTTACCCCTCCTGTATGTACACACGTTCTGGAAACAATGCTTGCACTTACGGGTCTTTACGTGGCTTGACAGGTAATTGGCTGGGTCCGCCTGGGTTTCGTCTGGTGCCTGGTCTTGGCGGCGCGCACAAGGGGGGCAGGGGGAGGGGGGAAGGATTATGAGCAGGAGGCTGCTCTTTAAAGGCGCCAGCCTTGCATCTACAGATTAGGCCCGCGCCTTCTAAGAAGTCTACTTCTAAGAAACCTTCCCCCCTCCCCCAGACCTAGAAGAAGAACCAACTGCATAAACATAAACTCTTGGCGCTCCGCGCGGATTTCTTAGATCCGCGCTGGACCCCCCCTGGCATGCGGAGTGCGCCAGGGGGGGGCGGCGGAGGCACCGACAGGGGGGCCCAGCGCGGATCCAAGAAATCGGCGCGGAGCGCCAAAAGTTTATGTTTATGACGCTTTCTTCCTCTTCGAGAGAGAGAAGAGCAGCGTCCTTTCAAGAAGCCTGTGCGCATCTCGCGTGGGCGCCCCATGCGCGTGTGTCTGTGTGTGTGTGTCTGTGTGTGTGTGTCTGTGTGTGCGTGCGTGTGTGTGTGTGTGCCTGTGTGTCTGTGTGTCTGTGCGTCGTTGTGTCTGTGTGTCTGTGTGTCAGTGTGTCTGTGTGCCAGTGTGTCGGTGTGTCAGTGTGTCAGTGTGTCAGTGTGTCAGTGTGTCTGTGTCAGTGTGTCAGTGTGTCAGTGTGTCAGTGTGTGTGTGTGTGTGTCTGTGTGTCTGTGTCTGTGTGCCTGAGTGTCTCTGTGAGTCTCTGTGTGTCAGTGTGTGTGTGTGTGTGTGTGTCTGTGTGTGTGTCTGTGTGTGTCTGGGTGCGTCTGTGTGTGCCTGTGTGCGTCTGTGTGTGTCTGTGTGTGTCTGTGTGTGTGTCTGTGTGTCTATGTGTGTGTCTGTGTGTGCCTGTGTGTGTCTGTCTGTGTGTGCGTGTCTGTGTGTGTCTGTGTGTGTCTCTGTGTGCTTGTGTGTCTGTGTGTGCCTGTGTGTCTGTGTGTGTGTCTGTGTGTGTGTCTGTGTGTGTTTGTGTGTGTGTGTGGTTGTGTCTGGGTGTGTCTTTGTGTGTCTATGGTTGTCTGTGTTTGTCTATGTGTGTCTGCGTGTGTCTGTGTGTGTGGCTGTGTGTGTGGCTGGGTGTGTGTGTGTGTGTGTGTCTGTGTGCCTGTGTGTCCATGTGTGTGTGTGTCTGTGTGTGTGCCTGCGTGTGTCTGTGTGTGTCAGGGTGTGTCTGGTTGTGTATGTGTGTGTCTGTGTGTCTGTGTGTCTGTGTGTGTCTGTGTGTGTCTGTGTGCCTGCGTGCCTGTGTGCCTGCGTGTCTGCGTGTCTGTGTGCCTGTGTGTCTGTGTGTCTGTGTGTCTGTGTGCATGTGTGTGTCTGTGTGTCTGTGTGTTTGTGTGTCAGTGTGTCAGTGTGTCTGTGTGCCTGTGTGACTGTTTGTCTGTGTGTCTGTGAGTCTGTGTGTCTATGTGTCTGCCTGTCTGTGTGTCTGTGTGCCCGTGTGCCTGTGTCTGCGTGCCTGTGTGCCTGTGTGTCTGACGGATGCCAGGATACCCTTTGTGAGGTTACCCGTCCTTGCCATCAAGCTTCGACTGTAGCTTGGCTCAGAGGTCTTGCACCACATGGCTTGCAACGCAAAGCTTGCACCACACAGATTGCCCAAGAGCCTGCAGTGTGAGTTCCACACTGGCTAACATGTATAAGTGTCTTCACGTGCCTAGACATACAGCTTACACCGTTTCTATATAGTGCGTGTCATTCACTCGCATCCATCTTCATCTCGGCCTCCTGTGCCTCATCTTCAGCCCTACGCCTCATCATCCTCGTCCTGCTCGTCATTATGTTCCTTCGTCTGCTCCTGCTCGTCCTTCACCGTATCACCACCGCGAACAACGAGGGTGACTGAGAGACCAATACGGAGGGAAATTGAAGAGATACAGAGAGACAAAGAGAGAGAGAGAGAGAAAACAAAAAGAGAGAGAGAGAGAGGGAGACGTTAAGACACGGAGCTAAATGCAAAGATGGAGGGCGGAGAGAGCCGAAGGTGGGGGGACATGATAACACAACCAGGGGCAGCTAGTGGGGACTGAAGGAAAAAACAGATATTGGCGAGAAGAGGGTACTTGACCTTGATATCCTTAAACCCTCTGTTGCCGCTAACGACCACGGGAATCTTGATCTTCTGATCCTCCTTCGTCAGGGGGATCACCATCTGTTCCTTGAGGAGCGGAGGCAAATGAGAGAGGAGGGCAATCAAAAACGGCACGGTTGAGGAGATGCGACGCCGTGGAGAAAGCTCGGGTCGGACGAAAGCGGTGGGTTCGTACAGGGAAGGATGGCGAAGCAGCTCACGGACTAGCTGACTTCTCTGGCGCCTCCCGTCGCTGGAGGCGCATATGTATCGAGGAAAGCGCCCAGCTGTGGGACCGAAAACAGCCGCACTCAGCAATTTCGTACCCCCCCCCCCGTCCCCCTGCCCCACGCCTTGTGTCCATCCCCCAAAAAAGCGCACACAATCGAGAAGAGGACGGGTGGAAAAAGATCTGGGCGGGTCAGGGCCCGATGGTCGGAGCAAGGCGAGCTGAGACAGTGGCAACTGAAGATCCATCCCCCGGACCGCTCCTGGGGTCCAAGCGCACCAGGCTTCCCAGCTGCGTCCAGCCGTGGCGACGAGGGAGCCCCCCGAAGCCCAACCCCAACTACCGTTGCCTCAACTCGCCCTGCTCTGAGATTGGACGGGGCAGGGTGGACAGTGCACCCTGGAGGGGACGAAACGGTACGATAGCAAAGGGTGGGGCAAAAGCTGGTCTTCCGGGCGCCTCCTGGCGCCGGGAGGCGCCCACGCATCGGGGAACGGGCCCGGCGGCGGGGCGGAAACGGGCTGCGCGCCGCAGATTTCGCACCCCCCCTTCCCCCGAGACACATCCCCCTCCTCCTCCTCCTCCTCCCTCCTCCTCCTCCCTCCTCCTCCTCCTCCTCCTCCTCCTCCTCCTCCTCCTCCTCCTCCTCCTCCTCCTCCTCCTCCTCCTCCTCCCCCTCCTCCTCCCTCCTCCTGCCCCTACGTCCGGCCCGAGACACAGCCGAGACGGGCCGTGGCCGTGGCCGTGGCCGCGGCGGCTCGAGGTGCGGGGCTCGGGGGTGGAGGCGCGGGGGCCGAGGCTCGGCGGTCGAGGCTCGAGGGTCGGGGCTCGAGGCCCGGACGGGCAGGGCGGGGCGTGGCGGGCCCCGGGGACTGGACGGGGGGGGGGGGGCAGGGAGACGGACCGTACAGGGCAGTTTGTGATACATGGGATCTAAAACATATGGGATCTTTGATGCGTGATTGATTTAGGAACAGACTTTACGCATGAACTCAGAATACTGAATCCCTGCTTTTTGAATACATGATCCGCACGCGGAGCATGTATTAAAAACGGCACTGTAGGATGGCCCCTGCGGGGCCAGGAGCCGGGCCACCACGCATCCTCCCCCCTGCCCCATGCCCGCGCCCACCGCAAGCCCGGGTGGGCCTCCTGGGTGCCTCTCGGAGCCCTCTGGGAGGCCTCCTTTGGGCGCTCTGGGAGCTCTCGTGGGGGCCTCGCGGGAGCCCTGGAGGACCTCCTGGGGCCGTCTTGGGGGCGGTCGGTCAAAAGAGGGGGGTCCTCGAAGTACCCCCCCTCCTCGGGGGCCACGATCCTCGTGAGGGGTGTCAAAAAGTGGCCCTCCCAGGGGCTGAAAACGAAAACCTCTGACACATCGGGCCCCCTTCCCAACAAAAATACCAGGGAGGGGAAGGGACGGGGTGCAGATCTTCCCCCAAGCATTCGGGGTCCCGAGAAGGTGCGGTGGCAGACCGCGCGGGGACCTCGAGATCTGCAGAGACCTCACCGAACGGTCCTGCACCGCACACTTGCTTGGGTACCTGGGAGGCCCCCATCGTCAAAGACGTCCTCAAGAAACGAACCGTGTCCCAAAACCGAGCGATCACACGCCGGACCCCCCCCGACTCACATACGATGCGGTCACCTCACCGTCCGGGGGCTCCCGACAGTACCGAGGGCGTGGTCGCAGGCCCAGACGTCCGGCGTCTCGACTCTGTTCGAGACACGGGCCCCCGATCTCTCGACCACCTCCCAGGGACCGGCCTTTCATCCCGAGTCGTTGCTTTGTTCGCACGGTCCCGAGGCTCAGGTAATGGCTCTGGCTTCGAATTTCTACCTATCCTCCTCCTCCTCCTCCTCCTCCTCCTCCTCCTCCTCCTCCTCCTCCTCACGATCAACCTCCAGGGTCGCGACCCATGGCGCGGGCACTGCTGGAGGGGGCGCGGTCGGGGGCGCGCGCGCCCGGCCCTGAGCCATCGCGCTACACCATCGGGGGCCACCTTTCTGTAGAACGGTGAGCGCTTTCTTATTCGGCGTTTCGGCACTGGGCGGAGGGGGCTTTGACTATACTTAGCTCGTTGCAAGTTAGCTTGAGCGCAGCGGCCAACAGGACTGGCACAGGCTGCACACGAGAAGCCCGAGAGCATGGACGCTGAGCTGCTTCCGCTCTCGTCCCGAAAACTGTCAGGAGAGAGGTATTGGCGCTGAGGGAGGAGAGGAGAGGTATCATTACGAATGAGGAAGAGATAGCAGCGCCGTGCGAAGAGAGACATCAGCGGCACCCTGCTTCGTTGCCCATAGAAGGGCAGCCCTCGATGCAGAGAGCAGTGCGAGGCAGGGAAAAGAAAAGACCTGCCTGGGAGTGCCTTCCGAATTTCGGACTGCTATTAAGAGGGAAGAGCTGGACGGAGGGCCAAAATGGCCAGGCCGCATTGCGGCTGTCCAAACCTCCAGGGGAGGAGATCTGGACTGAAGGAGGAGCGAGGGAAGTCATAAGAGGTGGGAGAGGAAGAAGGGCCGGAATGGCATGGCCGTGTTGCAGGGCGCACGCTGCAGCTGAGCGGCCTGTACGGGCCGACCGCGGCGGGGAGGTGGGTGCGCCTGGGCGCTAGCCGAGACCAGACAACAGAGACCCACCTCCGTGTGGCCCCTCACAGGCACACAGGGACCAAGGGGACCCTGCTACACCTGGACGAGGGCCAGAGAGACAAGCCAAGGCCAGTACCGCGCTCCTCCCACGAGGCACATATGTTTGCCGCGGCCTTGCTTCAGCCGCACAGCCAAGACGCACTGGGGCATGGTGCCTGTCTGCATATATGGCACCTTCGCTGGTCGCCTTAGCCGAGAGTTACACGGCGGGGCTGTGCTGTAGCATCGTCTAGGTATTGAGCTGCCAAGGTGAACCAAGAGTATTAGGCCAGCTCGCCACCTAGGAGACTCAGCCGCGGCGAGTCTGCGAATTGCTGTGTGAGCAAGCCGATCGCTGTATAGCGAGGCTGCTAAGAAGTGCCGCGAGGCTGCTAAGGGGGGCCGGTAAAAAGCAGAGTGACTAGGTGGGCTGCCGAGGTATGTATTAGGCTGGCCCCGCCCCTGTGTGGCGCATTGACGGTTGCATCATGGGCGCCCATCCCATATTAGCTGAGATGGTGCCGACTGGATGCCGCACAGTTAAAGGCCTTACGGGCGCTGAAAGAGTTGCAGCTGCAGCTGAAAGGCCTGCGCGGGCCGTCCGCGACGGGGAGGTGGGTGTGCCTGGGCGCTAGCCGAGACCAGACAACAGAGACCCACCTCCGCGTGGCCCCTCACAGGCACACAGGGACCAAGGGGACCCTGCTACACCTGGACGGGGGCCAAAGAGATGCGTCGGGGCAGAGGCCACGTTCCTCTCATGAGGCACGAGTCTGCGAATTGCTGAGTGAGCCTAGCTGATCGCTGTTTAGCGAGGCTGTTAGAATGTGCTGCGCTGGCTGCACTTGTGCAGCAAAGTGAGAAGTCGCGCCCATGAGTGGCGACTACTCCTGGACAGGGCCCTCTAAAAGAGGGGCCGGTGGAGAAAAGAGCGCTAGGTGGGCTGCCGAGGTATGTATTAGGCGGACGCCCCTGTGTGGCACATTTACGGTAGCGCCATGGGCACCCATCCCATATTGGCTGAGATGGTGTCGAATGGTGCCGCAAGAGCTGCAGTGAGAGCGTGCACCTGAAGGCCTCACTGCAGCGGAATGTATGCCGGCTTGGCCGGCCTTGAATTGGAGACGCGGTGTCTCCTTTATAAGAGTTTGGCTTGATTAAAGAAGGCTTGGGCTGAATAGGTGGCGGGCTGCAGGCAAACCAGGATCTGCGCAGTGTGCTAACCCACCACCTATGCGTGAGGACTCGGCCGTGGCGAGTCTGCGAATTGATATGTGTGAGCGGCGCTTAGCCGCCTCACTGTTAGCGGGAAGGGCTGGGTGCTGCTAGACTCGCGTGGCGTACAACTCAGCTATGCAGGACGGCTCGACCGACCTTGAGTTGGAGCGGCATGGCTCCAGCTGTTTAGGTGGTGGGCTGCCGAGGTGGAGATAAGACGCTGAAAGGATGTGGAAAGGAAAGTATTGGGCGAGCCCACCACCTAAGTATGCCCGCTGCTAGTGGCGCCGAGGTCGCTTAGGACGACCTAAAAGGGCGCTGACTGATGCGTCATTAGCGTGGCTCGCTCAGGCGCTGAAGGAAGACGGGTTGAGAGTGCGGGCGGCAGCCGAGAGCGCCGAGAGACCTGCCGCTGTCGCCGCCGCACGCGCCTGGGCCTCTTGCGCGGCAGCCTGCTGCTGGTTGTAGTGGCTCCTCAGCATGGCCTCCACCTCAGAGATGGTCGCCAGGCCTGGGGTCTCGATCCACTCCCAGTCCCAGGTTTCGACGACCTGGCCGTCGATGACGTCCAGCGACTTGAGCTTCCAAACGAACGGGTACAGCATGCCGCTGGGCATCTTCCATTCGCCCGGGTAGGGAGGGCCACCACTTTTTGAACTCGCGCGTGGCGGCCGTGTATTGGGAGCCCTGCCAAGCCGAACCAGCATAGGTGTCCCCTGTGAGGCCGAAGAGCTCCCGCGTGTCAGGCGACGCCCTGCTGGCCTCGGCCGCTCCCGCCTCCGCCGCGGCCGCAGCGGAACCACCCGCGGGAGGCGTGGGCACCATGGCGGCGTGGGGCGCGCTGAGAGAAGGGGGGGAGCGCCGAGGAAGCAAAAAGAAATAGCCCATAAGCCAACGGCGGCCAGATGTGAGTGAAACCTAGCTGGCCTGTGCTAGCATCTGTGTGAGGAGGACCTCCTGACGGGCCGACTGATGCACGCCTGGCCTGGTGCGGAGTCTATAGGGATGAGGA